AGTAGCAAAGTGCTTCTGGGTTCAATCCCCAGTGCCAGGAAAAATAAATTGTGTAGTGTGTAATGGAGCACATTTCTAGCATGTTCAAGGTCCTGGGTTTGAGGATTTGATCTCCAGTGCCACCACCAAAAAAAAAAAAAAAAAAAAAATTAGATCACAATTTCTTAATCTTGATTATTGAGTTTTGTGTTTTATTTATTTAAATTTTTTTCTGCTTTTCCTTAAGTTTTGCATGGAAGGCACACAGTAGTCCTAGGCTGTGTGTTACAGGCACTCTTCAATGGTGCTTTGTTTGGTAAAATGGAGAGCAGGTTCCAGACCTTCCTCAGCTTGTATCCTTACCTCAAAAGGGCAGATTAACTCAGCTTTAGAGAAAGGACGCCTGGGGAGGAAAGCATGAGTCTTCCTGTATAGGAAGCTCCCTGGGATCAGCCATTCTAAAACCACAGAAATGAGTGCCTTTCAGCTAAGCCCATGGGGCACAGGCTGCCCTGAACATAATGGACACTCCACTGGGGTGGGGCCTCAGCTTTTCCCATTCCCATCTGTGAAAGAGAAGGTTCCAGAACCTGCATCCCCTAGAACAGAAAAAGGAGGTGATGCTTCCTGGGACTCTGGGGACTGATCTAATATTAGTGGTGATTTTCTCATCTGGTCCTTGTGACATCTCTATGGGTAGGTGTAGTTATCAACTTGTTTTACAGACAAGCAGCTCGGGTTCCCCCTTGGGAAGATAGGAGGTCCAGCTGCCAACCCAACTCTCTGCATGCAGTCCACTTACCCCATCTTGCTTCATCCTCATGCTGTGTGCTCTCCTGTGCCAGCTCTGGGCACACACTCAGGAATGCCTGGAACACCTTGCCACTGCCTGGGCTGTAGGCTCAGACACCCCAAGAGCAGCCTGATGTCACTCTATTGCCCTGCCCTGATCGAATGCAATGTTCTTCCTCTACCTCCCCACCCCCAGCCCTCCTCCTGCCCATGGCTATATTTAGGACTTTCTGTGGTCTTTAGCACCAAAACAGCTGGCTCTTTTCTGGGCCTGAAGAGGGTATGCCAGCATTCCAGAAAAACATGGTAGAAACAGAATTTTTCCTAGGTACCACTTAGTTTCATCTCTTCCCCTAGTTTTTTATTTTTTTTTCCCCCAATTAGAGAAGTTTTGGGTAAAAGACCAGATTATTAGAACATCATGGGTGGGACTAGGCCTTGTGGGAGAGTGACTTTCTACCCATCCCAAGAAAAAGCCTGGCCTTGCTAAAGCCTACTGGCCTCTAGTGGTGAATAGTTACTTCTACCCCCAAACAACCTCACTATTCTTACCCTTCATAAAGCCCATACTTCTAAGGTTTTGCCTTCCCTCCAAATAAAAGCTATTTCTTCCTTCCATCCTTCTTTCCTCCCTTCTTATACTATGGATCGAACCCAGGGCCACAATACCACTAGTCACACACTCATACTCAGCTCCTTTAATTTTTATTTTATTATTTTATTTTATTAGGAGTTGAAACCAGGGGCACTTTACTACTGAGCTACATCCCCAGCCCTATTTACAACATTTTTTTTTTGAGACCAGGTCTCACTAAGTTTCTTAGGACCTAAATAATTTGCTGAGGTTGACCTTGAACTTGTTATTCTCCTGCCTCAGCCTCCTGTCTTGCTGGGATTTCAGGCATGCGCCCTTGCACCCGGCCTCATCTAACACTTTTGATCATATGAAGTAACATGTTTCTATATCAAAAGCAAAGAAACTTGATGCTTCATTTATTCTGTAAAATGTCATGCATCATTTTAAATTAGGACAAAAGCGTTAGGTCCTCTACTATAACAGATAAGCCTTTAGAGATCATGTTGTCTAGCCCCTTCATTTTTTGGACAAGAGAATTTGCTCAGATAAGAAAATAACATAGAGTTTTACAACAAAACTTCTTTGAACAATAATGGATTGTTTTTCCTATGAAAGCTCCTGAGGAGCTATGGGTGGGTGGGGACCCTGATGCCAGGGGGTAAGGGTCTTGCCTGAAGTTTCCTCCTAATTCCCAGGCCTGATGTGACTGGATCAGGCTCTGGGAACTGGGATGCAGACTGGTGATGCACTAGTGAAGTCTTTACTGCCTTCTCCCATCCCAGCTTAAGGGCTAGATGCTACTCTCCTTCATGTTGGGATGGATTTTTTTCTCCTAAAATCAAAAGAGGCATTTTCCTTGCTCAATCCAAGGTTTTTGCACTTTTCCATTATAGACCTGCTTTCTGGCCTCTAAATCTGGATTCCCAATCTACTCTGGGTGCCACACATTTGGTAGTTTCTTTACAGGGGGAGGAGAGTGGGAACCCCAACTGTCTGAAAGTGACAGGTCTCTGGGTACTGGGTAGGTGTGTGCATGGCGTTCCACAGTCTCGACTAACAGACCCTGCTTCTCAGGTGACCCGGCGCTTTGGAATCCCAGGGCTGAAGAAAACCATGGACTGGTTTGGATACTATGGAGGACCCTGTCGCGCCCCCTTGCAGGAGCTGAGCCCTGCGGAGGAGGAGGCTCTGCGCCTGGATTTCAGCAGCAATGGCTGGCTCTAAGGGCAAGCAGAGTACGCTGAGGCCTGCGTCATCTCAGTCTCCTGCCTGGTCCCATAGCCTTAAGAGGAGCAGCAAGCATCAGGGGGGAGAGGCTCCTCTTCCACTTTCTCCTCCAGGTGGCTTGTACTAGGCATCTCCATGCAATCTCCTTTTCTCAGAGTCTGTGACTCTCACATTCATAGATGCTGAGTCTCTAGAGACTTTCAGACTAGGAAGGAGCAGTCTTGATCTTTTTTCTGTGGATGCTTTCCTCTGTCCTAAGTCTCGTAAACTAGGAAGCCCATGGAAAGGGCAGGGGGGCAACTGGACAGTATGGACAACTGCTTAAATTGGAGCCTAGGAACCTGAGTCTAGCACAATATGGCTGGAAGTCAGGGCTATGCCTAAGCACCCGAGTTCTGATTCCTTCCAGAGGAAGTACCAGGTTAGAAAACCTGAACAGGAAGGTGTTGCAGGTCTTTGAAAGGCTCCCAAGCTGCATTCTAGCCACAAAGCCCTTTCCTAAATCTATTTTCATTCATTTCATATTCTTGTCTCTAGCTTTGATTTCCATCACTGAGTGCCCAGTGGCTTGTCAGATTGGTAAACAGTGACACCTGGTGGACAAACAGAGGTCTGCGTTCATTCTAGAAAACTATTCTGACCAGCCCAGTTCTGAAACACTAGGGAGAGGGACTTGGCCTGAGACAGGGCTATCCTCTTGTCTATAGGCATCATACTTTTTTCAGGGGGTGGGGGCAGTACCACCGGGGACTAAACCCAGGGCAAGTGTGCTACCACTGAGCTCCATTCCCATCCCTAACACCATACTTTTATTATTAAAAATAATCACTTTGTTACTATAATAATAAAGTTTAACAAATAAAACCAATGTGGCTATGTACTAGGTTTCCTGGTCAGATGTCAAGAACCTTCCTGGAGGAACTCGAGTCCTTAACTGTCTGCCTTTCACAATACTGAGCAAAGAGCCATTAGATCTGTGGTGGCCTAGGAACTCTTCATGATTTCAAATGGGAGACTATAAGAGTTGAAAGAGTGCAAGTAAAATATTTAGAAACACCAAAATCATAGAGGGTGCTTTCTTCAAAATGTTTAACGCTTTTCAGTGGTTATATATGGAAAACCAAGTACTTTTAAAAAATTACTGATAATGACCTTCAACTAAACTGGCCATCTGATGTCATTCAAGCTTGAGGCTTTGGCTGCTGGGTTTCTCACAGGCATCTTCTAGAGGAGCTGGGCTCAGAGAATCGGGTTTAGGGTTGAGGGTTGAGGGAAAAATGTGAGGGCTAGGGAGGAAGGCTGGTGGATGGGACCTCTATTGCTTCAATATGCCTGCGTTTAAGTGCCCAGTCCTTACTGCTCCTAGTGTCCATGGGAACTTGTGGAAGCCACCTACCTTCCCTGAGCATCTGTAATACAGGATAATAATCATACCTTCCTCCCAAGACTGAGTAACAGCAGGTATGTAAAGGGGTAACATTGTCATGTTCCCGGTGACTTAAACACTCAGGGGTCACTCCAGGGGACCTGGGCTGCACCAAATAACCACACAAGAGATAGAAATACCTTTTTCTTTGAGGGTGCTGTGACGACTCCTCTGACCTTAGGGGTCTGCAGAAAGAGAGAAAGCTGACCCCTTTTATTGAGGAGAAGCCATTCAAATGAGGCAAGGGGTCAGTTTCAAGGGGCTGAGTCTAGCTTCATGATGTCTGCTGTCAGCAGGTTGACTGACACCTAGTAGGCCTCACCCAAGGGCAGAGTAAGAGAGGGGACACACAAAGGGTGTTTCCATGGAACATTCTATCCCGAACAGGGCAAGGGGTAATATCACAAAGGAACAGGTGAGCGTAGCTCAATCCCTGGGGATGTAGGAAGTTACGCCCATGCATGAAGACACATTGCATTAAGATTGGGGCTACTGTCTTCAGTTACTTAAGCAACCAGATCATGGGGTGACCAACACTGATCAGGAGGAGAAGCAAACGCTGGTCACATGCTATGTTGGCCTCCCACATAACATGGTGGGGGAAGTTCTGTCGCTCTAGTGTTGCAGAAACAGGGAAACCCAGGTATGAGGAGATATGACTAAAGTCAACCAGCAGGTCTGGCTATAATGATCTCAGGCCTTGCACACTATGATGTTCAGGGTGAGGGGAGGCCTATAGAAAGGGAGCTGGAATCAGAAAGACCGTGATAGAATTCCACCCAGCTCTACTTATCCATTCACCACTCTGGGCAACTTAATCTTGTCTGATTAAAAAAAAAAAAAAGTTCATACATTCTACTCTGCAGACATTCTGAGAATTAGGTGATGTTTTATATAGTACAGCTGTCAGTTCCAAGCCCCACACTGATTTAACTTTTATAAAGAACAAATGTGTTGGTATTCATGAGGATTCAGGGCAAGAAAGTCATAGAAACAAAGTATAGGCAGATCTGGTGATTTGTTTATTTCTATGAACACTTGATTCTACAATACAGTTCACAGAATAAATAGAGGCACACGGTTATAATTTCCACCATAGTCTGCTGTTGAGGGAGATTCGGTGTGAGGATGGGAGCTGGGGGTATGTCTGGGTCCTGTGGTAACTGGAGGCCTCATGATGAACTGTATAGGGATTCCACCTTCCAAAATCTGACCAAGGCCTGAAGATCAAGGCTCTTGGTGGGAGAGTTATAGCAAGTCAAATGCGAGGAACAGCCAATGCTTTTAGTTCACCACAGTCCCAGGGTGGGTGTGAGTCTACCTACACCCAGGGGTGTAGGTGAGTCTGATCTACCACCTACAGGGAAAGAACTGTGTCGATGCAGGCCTTCCCCAGCACTTAGTCCACTCCCCAGGAAGGCCTTGAGGCTGGATATGTCTGCCCCTTGACCTGGAGTGAGTAATGAATACAACTTATGAGGTTACTATTACATCAGTTTCTTTCTTGACTATGCCACAAAGGAATTCTCTCTGATAGACTCTAAGAACGGAGAGACACAAATGGAGATTGGATTATATGCCCTAACTCAGGTAAGGAACATGACTTGTAAAGTCAAGAAAGAAGAAAACAACACTCTTACCAGATCCTTCACAGGGGAAATAAGCAGACACAAAGACTAGTCTGATCAGACAAAGTTGGAGCCTGGAGTCAGGATTCAAACTGCACTGAATGAGGGGCTCATGTACAGAGAAGTTCTGGCCCGACTTTCACAGGGTCACTGTACTGTCTATCTTGTACCTCATTTTGCCAGGGCAGCACACAGCATTGGCCCTATGGGGGCTAGGGTCATGTGCCCCAAACATAGGCAGAATGAGGACATTCTGAATCACTTGGCAGTAAATGGAGTGAAGGCCGCAGCCACTCTGTACTGGGTAACCCCAGGTCTCAGGAACAGGAAATGTCGACAAGTAAGAAAACACAGCTCCTGTCTTCAGCAAATAAGCATCAAGAAAAGACAGAACTGCTAACCACTGAGGGGTCTTTGGGCCAAAATCCTTAGCACTTTCTGTGATCAAATTGCTGATTGGCAGGTGATGGGGCACATCACAGGCTTCGGCTCCGTGGTCATCCTCATCTCATCTGAAATCTGGTTCATTCTGTTCATCTCAGGTGGTCATGGGCTTTACTGACACTATTCCAGCTGTGCCCACTGCCTCATCAAGCAGTGAGATTTCTGGCGGACTTGGAGGCACTCTGGGCCCGCTGAACTACCGCAGAACACTTCTCCCTCCGCAGCAGCTTATTGTTCTCAAATAGACCTTCGTTGCGGGGTATTCCATGAGAACCATCAGGGAAAGTCAGCAGGCCTTTGAGGGCAGAGAAAATATGACAGTAACATTAACGTTGCAGAGCTCAGCTTTTGTGTAGAGGCTATAGAAGTAAAAAACTCAGCTGGGTACCATGGCTAAGGCAGGAGGATCACAAGTTTGAGACCAGCCTCAGAAACGTAGTGAGGCCCTAAGCAACTCAGTAAGACCGTGCCTCAAAATAAAAAAATGAAAGGAGATAGGGGCGTAACTCAATGATTAAGTGCTCCTGGGTTCAATCCCCAATACCAAAAACAAAACAAAACTCCCAGCTCTACTCAGGCATGCTCCATTGGTGAGTTTGACAGATATCATTAGGATCATTAAGGCATGATCACTATTGATTGCTGGACATCCACAGAAGAATTAAAACTAAACAGCCTAAACCTACATTAGGCTGGCCTACGTTACCCAACCTACCGGGATGCAACTTACCAAAACCATCTACTCTACCATTTTTAAATTCCCCCTCAAAGGTCATGTTGTCATGCCGAATGAAGACTCCGACGCCATTAAACTTGCCCTGGGCAAACTCCCCCTCATACCTGCAGAAACACCAAGAGGTTAGCCTTTCATGGGCAAGTTAGATGTCCAGGTTAACTGAGTCAAGCAGCTGCAGGTATGTATTAGTTAAAAGTGCCATGGAGCCAAGTCCAGTGTGGTGGTGCATGACTGTAAATCCCAGCTACTTGGGAAGCTGGGGCAGGAGGATTCAAAGGCTCAATCTCAGGAAAAGAACTTAAATGAATGGAGCAGGGGTGGAAGGTCACTCACCTCCCTGATATTTCAAATTTCAAATCTATTTAAAAAGTAACCAATAAAAGAACTGCCCACTCCTGGTCTGTTTTCTAGAGTGCCTGGGACAAATTCAAGGTTGATCAGATTCACTAATATCCCATTTTTATATCAGAGTCTCCCTTGTTTAAAGCTGAGAAATACTCACCTTGAACCATCTGAAAAGGTCAGTACCCCAAAGCCATTAAAGAGCCCATTCTCAAAATGACCCAGATAGGTCCCACCATCTGCAAACAGCAGTTGACCAAAACCATGCCTGCGGCCTGAACAAAAAGGGTACAGGTTAGAATGGGGCAACTTCAGGCTCCCTTCTCACTTGCCTAGCATCCCATACATTTCATGACCCTATTCACAAAAGAGAGAAAAAAAATGGTGGCATTAGCAGGGCAGAGTCTGACACCAGAAAAACCTGGAACCTCCCATCTTAAGTCTCAACCATCAGATTTGGAGCACATCTCTCTAAGTATGAATAAGAGAGCTCTTAAAATAATAGTAGCCAACATTCATAGCCAGCCACTCTTCTAAGCACTTAGTATTTATGATCTTATTTAATCCTGTGGTAACCTTATGAGGTAGATACAGTACTATTATTATTCCCATTGAATAGATGGGGAAATGGAGGCAAGGAGAAGCTAAGTAACTTACTCTAGATGCCAGAGCTGGAAGTTTATAGCAAGAATGCAAATGCAGCAGACAGCCTGACTTGCAGCCCTCTGTTGACCTTAGCTATACTGCCTCTCAGAGAAAAAAATAAAAGCACCCTTTAGCATTGTGAAGCTATGGAATAAACTTAACAGCCTGACTGGCAGCACTGGCTTAGCTCTGTTACATCAATAGGGCTGTGCCCACTCACTAACCTGACCAGAAAACCTGGGCAAGATGCTGGGAAGCAGTCATGCTGTTCAGACAGTGCAAGGGCGTTCTTTCGGTGGGTAGAGACCACCCAGCAGAGCCTCAGCAAGTCTCTCCTCTAAAAGGCTGTATTAAAGGGGACAGCAAGTGTTGGGGGAGGGGAGAAAAGACTTGGGACAGAAGGAGGCAAGGTCACAAAATGCACAATTCCTCATGGCTCAAGGGTATATCACCTGCTGCACTGGAGATCCAGTCTCCTCCAGGCAGTTCCTGGCTGACTAGGACTGGACACATGAGTCTTTAAATGGCCAGATTGTGTTTCCAAACCGAACATCATTAAACCACTTCCTGCCTGGTCTCAGGCTCTGAAGAGTTTTTCTATTCCTATGAATAGATACTTCCAAATGTAACGAGCTGTCTGTCACAGGAAATTCAAGGGAATGAATGTCATTTGGTCTTAAGTGTCTGCCCTAATTTCCAGATCTTCTTTAACTTTTTAAGGTTCACTGTAATCAAGACACTGCAACAAATTCTGTACTCAATTTACTGGCTTTTAAAGAATTCATTTTGTTCTTCTGGTTACATTATCATTTATTTAAGAAAATCTCAATCCTACTAAAGCATGAAAGGATATTATAACACTGCAAATCTAGAATTTTGGAAAGATTCAACTTATTTGTGCAGGTTAGATTAACAACAGCATTCTCTAATTCCTTTATTTAATCCTAAAATAGAACAAAGGAAAGGCACTGTGTGAAATTAAGCCCTGGAGTAAGAAATGAGGATCCATAAAATTGGCTCTCTATCCTGATGTATTTTCCTTCAGCTGAATGAAGTGTTTGTTCATCACTGGATCCCCTCAGGGTCCTTCTCACCCTCCTTCCACTCTCCACGATATTCCTCCCCACTGGAGTAGGTGAAAGAACCTTTTGTCAGGGTCATGGTGACAGCTTACAGAAGAAAAAGATGAAGTCTGTAGAAAATAAACAGAAAAGAGTCAGTGTCACGGGATGGCTGGAGGAATGGACAGCAAAGTCATTTCACAGATGTACTTTAAAGGCTACCAGACTGGTAAGTATATGTCACCTTGGGTACATTGAACAAAAACACCCTCCTTTTCAACCACCATCATCACCACCACCATGATCACCACCACCATCATTACCACCACCACCATCATTACCACTACCATCACTATCATCACCACCACCACCACCATCACCATCATCACCACCACCACCATTACCACCACCACAACCACCACCATCACCACCAGCACCACCATAACCACCACCATCACCACCACCACCACCACCATAACCACCATCACCACCACCCCCACCATCATCCTCACCACCATCACCACAACCACCATTACCACCACCCCCACCATCATCCCCACCACCATCACCACCACCACAACCACCACATCTGCCCATGCACTTCTTTTTCCCACTTAAGAGTTTTCTCTATTATCTATGATCTGGGATGGAAATGAAGGCTTAATCTACAAATTGTTACTCAACACCCACTACGTGCTGAGTTGATGTATACAATATAGTCTCTTCCCTCAGTGAGGTGATAATCTAGTAGATAAGACTAGCAATTAAACCACTGAATTATACCAGAGAAAATGTAATAGAGTGACAAGTTGGATACCAGAGATTAACAAAGAGGCATGGTCAGAATTTAAAATGAGCAGCAAAGAAAACTAAGAAATGAAAGCAGAAAGAGCAACGTACACATGGGATATCCAATGGGAAAATAAGAAGCCTGGTCTGATTCAGTTGAGAGCTTATTTAGGGAGTAATGGGTACACTCAGCCAAAAATCTTAAATCTAAAAAGACCTTGTAGACTTAGTCCAAACTCTCTCATTTTACAGATGGAGAAATAGAAACTCAGAGTGGTTAAAAAATGTGTTAGTGGCTAAGTGTGGTGGCGTATGCGTGTAATACCAGTAGCTTGGGAGGCTGAAGCAGGAGGACTGCGAGTTCAAAGCCAGCCTCAGCAACTAGTGAGGCCCTAAGCAACTCAGCAAAACCCTGTCTCTAGAGAAAATATTTTAAAAAGGCTAGAGATATGGCTCAGTGCTTAAGCATCCCTGGGTTCAATCTCTGGTACCAAAAAAAAAAAGTTTATTAGTGGTCAAGATGGGATTAGCACACAAGCCTCCCCTGACTATGGCCAGTCCTCCTTATCCTGTACTATGGCCTCTAATTTTAGGTCAGGTTAGCTCATGGAGATCTCTGAAAGCTAGGCAGAGTTTATAGCAACTAAGAGAGGGAAGTGGGAGTTTTGAGTGACAGCGGGGCTGAAGGGCATTGTGAACAGGGATGGTAACAATGAAAGCAAGACCAGGACAGCTGCCCTGCTGAGCTGAGCCCCAAACTCACAGAAATCACACTGACAAATAAGACTTGTTGTTTCAAGCCAGTGTATTTTAGGGTGGGTGTTATCACCCAGCAAAAGCCAACTGATACATCCAAGTATGAATGGGTGGTCCAGGGGGATACAGTGCAGTGGGAGCAGAAGAAATGCTACGACAAAATGCATCATGGAAAAAAACCACCATTGGATCAGGCTAGATGGTAAAAGAATGCTCTATTCAGGATATTCTATAAGAAGATATTCAAAATATCATTGACTGTAAACAGAGACAAATAGAATTATTTGAAATTCTATTTTAAATTACTGAATTATTTGAAATTATTTAAAAAATTCAAACCCTATTTAAAAAAATTTCCTAAGCCTTTCTACTCACCCCTTCATCTCTTCTAGATCTAAGCAATACAATGTTTTCTCAAATGACAATGATGCAGATTCTTAGGCCCAAACCTGGACCTATCGAATCAGATTCTATACAGGTGGAGCTAGGGAGTCTGCAGTTTTAACAAGCCATCACTGGATTCTCACTTGAAAGCTGTGGACTATTATTCTGCTAAATGGAAATAATGTGTAAAAAGCTCTCTGAGGTATAAATCACCATTGAAAGGTTCCCTGTGACTAATAATTAACCTAGAGTCTGAACTTCAGGCACCTGACTGAGTACCATCAGGACACATGTACCTTCTTTTCAGCACAGGGGCAAGACCTGGTGCACACAACTAGATGTGATTCTCTAAAGTCTCTGCTCAGTATCAAAATGCCACCAACATAATTCAAAGAACATTTTGAAACAGAACAATTTTGCAAGTTGGACTAATGAGGTAAAAGCTAAGAAGAAGAAACAAAAACTATAATCACCACCCATCTGTTCTTCATCAATATCCTATGGGCTATTTTGGCTGTTTTTGATACAGATACCCAAAACCCAGAAAAGGTCTAATGTGAAAGCAGCCTGGTCTCACCACAGCAGGGTCAGGCACATCTTTGAGGTCCTGGCCCTGTCTCTAAGCTTTAGTTTCAGACACAAGGCCAGGTAAGTCCTGAGAATCCCTATGTTCTCAATCAAATATGGAGAAACATTCATTTCTAGCCCCACAATAAAGGCCAGCCTTGTGGAAGCTCTCCCACAGATGTTTGGGGTCACTTCTCTGGGACTTGTTCACTTCTTTAGTTATCGGTCAGCAACTACACATGCAACGTCCTTCACTTAGTAAAAGGCACTCCCAGGCAAGGGTCATTTTCTATTTGTACTAAAGCCCCTCCAAATCTCCAGGGGCTATTTTCTCAGAAAAGTGATGCTGGTACCTGCTGTGTCCTCTGTCCTATGAATGTCTCATAAAGTCAGCATCTAATTTCAGGCCCACAGACTCTTACCATCAGCTCAACATCAGAGTGTGCTTGAATAGAGGTCATCATGACTTCATTGCAAATGCAACATTAATGAGAGGAAGAGAATAAATTTTCCATCAGAACAGCTGAGGAAAATTCTGTCAAGTGCAGCTAGGCATTTTGATAGCTATAAGTCATCTTCGACTCTCTCAGATCTAATAAAGTCACAGCACTAATAGTCAACTTATGTACAGATCAGAAACAGTTCATCCTTTCAAAACATGTCCATTGTAATCTGAAGATATGTATCTTTTACAAAATTTATAACTAAGCCATCACTCTAGAACATAAACACAAAATCAAGGCTATAAGAATCTTTCCTTTAAATGTTTAGAAGTATTAATTAACATGGCTTCACTCCAAATTTGGGAAGAGGTATGGCAGTGGGGTTTGAGGAGCCATAATGACTACCTTGGGACTTAGAGGGAGCATCCGTTGTACTTACTTTTCCTAAAGGCTACACGAAACTTCCAGAGTGGTATCCCATCTTGTTCCAGAGAAACTAGTATAAGGTCCCTAAAAAAAGGGAAAGTTTCTCCAGTTTGAAGATTATCTATGGTCAATATCCTAGCCCTGCCTTTTAGTTGTAAACCTTTTGGTATGCTGTTAGCCCTTGGGACCTGTACCCTAAATATTTTAAGGAAACTGATGAAACTTGAAAGGTTACCTTATTACCAAATGTGGTAGACTGTATTTTCCAAAGATGTTTGTAATAATATCTCCTGTCTTATATGTTCAAATATAATCTGACCTGCCAATGATATATCAAAACGTGAAGTTTAATTCCTTTCCCTTGAATCTGAGCAGGACTGTGACTGCTTCAACCATAGAAAATGATGGAAGCTATGTGTGTTCTGTGGTTAGATCATAAAAGATGATGCAACTTCCATCTGCTCACTGGCGCACCCACAGTTGGAGACCTGAGCCACCACATAAGAAGTCCAACTACCTGGAGGTTCCCATGCAATGAGGAAGCAAGCCAGAGAGTTGTTGCTCCAGATGGCCATCCACATCTCTGAATCATGCTAGCTTGGGTACCAGGCATCAATAAAGGAGCCTTCAGATGATTTGAGCCTCCAGCCACTGAGTGCAAATCTAATCTGAGATATCATGGAGCAAAGAGAAGCCATCCCCACGGTACCAGTCCCAAATTCCTGACCTACAGAATCTGTGAACATCATGTTAAAAGATACTAAATTGGGGGATAACTTATTATACCTCAACAGTAACTTGGAACCCCATCTCTTAACCTCAACCTTACCATCATTCTTTCCTATTTGTTTTCAAAAGTACATATTACAAATTTCCATTATCTAGGGAGAAATAGCAAATTCCCTTTAGTAATTGTTTGTCAAATTCATGTCCATTCCTAAGACTACCATCAGAAGTACCAATTAAAGGGCAGATGGAATAGAATTCATGGATACTTTTGGCTGGAAATTGCTACATGTGGCAAATAATTCATATTATCACTGCAGAATATAGTGTCAGAATTTTAATTTACAACTTATGTAATTAGCCATGCTAATTAAGAGTCAGCTGCATAGCCATTGTGCAAAAAAAGAATTTCACCAGTAACCATGGTCACTGAGACAAATCTAGTTTAATATAGTCAGTGTTGATAATGACTGATAAGGGATGCAAAACGGCACTTGTATGTTATTTAAATAATCTTGTTAAAGAGAATAGATGGCCTAGGGGTGAAGATTCCTGCTTCTAAACAGGAATCCACCCACATTCATGGATCATGGATGATGAGTTGCAGGATCAGCTCAAACATTTACCTAAAAGGAAATTACTATTTTCTCTCTATAAACCAATATATTATTACTCTGCATACTAGAAATACATCCCTGCTATTTTATTTATTTATTTATTTGGTACTGGGGACTGAACCCAGGGGTACTTTGCCACTGAGTTACATCCCCAGCCCTTTTTCTTTCTTATTTTTGAGACAGGGTCTTGCTGGGTTGTTGAGGACCTTGCTAAGTTCCTGAGGTTGGCCTCTAACTTGCAATCCTCTCAAGTTACTGGGACTTATAGGCATGTGCCACCATGCCTGGTTCCTGCTATCTTTGTTTTCTTATGTCCCAGATATTTCAAAACACAACTCTGGGATAAGCCACCCTTCCCAGAGTATGACAGTCTTGCCAAAGTTCTTTCAGTTATAATAAAAGCATTTTGTAGTCTTTTAAAATCTTCATGATAAGAAAATGAAGGCTCTGGGCTCTGGCTGTGGCTCAGTGGTAGTGCACTTGCCTGGCATGTGTGAGGCACTGGGTTCGGTTCTCAGCACCACATATAAATAAATAAATAAAGGTCTGTCAATATTAAAAAAAAAAAAAAAAGAAAATGAAGGCTCTGATGAACAAATATTAAGCTTTTTAGGAAATTAGAACAGAAAGATGTTTTAAGTGCATTTAAATGACCTTGAATTTTTTTTTAAAATAATAAATCTAACCCCCTTTTCTCTTACTTGAAAAGTAAACAAATGTATTGTTAAGAAGGTGGGAAGAAAACAGTGGCACCAGAAAGACAACAAGGAAGACCTGGAAGCGATAGAGACTAGGGAGTAATGCTATCAGAACACTACTCTATTTAAAGGGAAAGGAGAACGCCTGGGCCGGGTCCTAATACGAGATACGCCTGTTGGTATCTAAACGGTCTAGACAAAGATGCCACCCTTCAAAGTAATCCAGGCTTCCCATTCCCCAAGCCTCGGTATGCAGGACTTATCTCCACCACCTTGGTGGAGGCGGGCCCAGAGTAAACAAAGCCCTAGATCTCCACAAGGCAACACCCATTCTCCCACCCCATTCTTGCATTCCAGCCCCGCGCCTTCCATCTACCTGGGTTTGCTCTCCAGCCCCGCAGGTTCTTCTGTTCACACAGTTCTGTCATTCCCTCCAGACGCAGCCCCTCATGCTCTGACCGCTAACCCGGGTGCTGCGCGCTCTCCCGAGACTTGACGAGTGGTCTAAACTCGAGCTGGGCTTGGTACCCACCCCAGGCAGCCGCCCTCGGGTCAGGGCATCAGGACGAAGCCGCGCTCCCCAGCCCGGGTCTTCCGCTTGGCTCCTCTGTCCCTACCTGGCTGACCATTCTCTCGCAGCCCCCTCTCACCCGTGCTGCCAGCCGACTGGGGCTAGGCCTTTCGGGACTACTGTCACGCCCCAACGCGGGGCTTCGGCGGCAGAGACCTTTACTCCGCCTGGCTCTCCCCCTTCCACTTTCCTCTCCACCACTTCCACCGCCTGTCCCACCGGAGGCCGCCATCCCTCACGCCCAATTCTTGCTGCCCATTGGCTGTTACTTAGGTAACCAGGAGCAACGCCACCTCCTATTGGTCCAGTTTGCCTCCGCGCCATCTTTGTGCGGGGCTGAGTGCACAGAGAGGCCGGGCGGAACCTCTGAAAGGGGTGGGTCTGAGCCTGCACCTAGGAGATGAAGGTTCCTGGTGTGGGCTACCCACAGACAGCGTGATGGGAATGTTAAGCCCAGAGAAAACCAAACTTGCGTCCGAAGCAACCGTGACCACTAACTTAAGAGGCTCGAATCCTCCTCCAATTCTTCAAATGTTTTAAGTAGAGAACCTAAATTCGGCTTTAAAGGTGCAGCTTTGTAATTTATAACGCTCTGCATAGGACAATTGCCCTTTAATAACTCTGTGTCAGACACTGTGATATAAAGACATTTTTGCATTAATGATAGGGACTTATGTTGTCATTACCCAAGTCCTTTGTGGTTAAAATGTAGTGCCAAAATTGGAGCAAATCTTCCTAAATTCTATGTGCAGCGATCAGTGTATCCATGTTTATTTACTGAATTATGTGAGTGCAGCATGACGCTAGGTTCTGTCAGGCTTGAAAAGCCAAGGTTGCTGTCACACGATTTACTGTTTTACTACAGGCATGAGAAAAATCTAAGGTTCAATTATTGGTGTTATTTAAAGAGCGGTTCTTGTCCCCTATGCCAATCCAATAACGAGGACACTGTTGTGAGAAAAAAGAAAAAGAAGGTTTTTTTTTTTTTAAATCACCAAAGATATATTATTTGGCCAAAATGAAATGAAGTTAGAAATTGGTAACAGAAAGAATTCAGGATATTCACAAATATGTGGAAATTAAATAATTCACTTTTTTTTTTTTGTACTGGTGATTGAACCCAGGGGTACTTAACTATATCCCCAGCCCTTTTTTGTATTTTATTTAGAGACAGGGTCTAACTGAGTTGCTTAGGGCCTCACTAATTTGCTGAGGGTGGCTCTGAACCTATAGTCCTTCTGCCTCAAATTCACTGGGATTACAGGTGTGTGCCACCACCCCAGGCTCAATTCACTCTTAAGTAACCAAAGGATCAAAGAAAAAAAATCAAGAAAAAGAAGTTTTATTGCTTTACTAGGAAAGGAGAAATACTGGAGACTCACGTCCTAGAGGCTGTGATTCTGCCCATCAGGGAAAACAGAAGGCTTTAAAAGAAGCTATTCAAAGGTACCCTGGCAGAGGGGTCCCAGGTGCATCCTGATGTGTGTTGAGATTCAGTTCGTTAATTTGGGAAATAGTCACTTCCTAGATCTTCCAATAACATCTCCTTCCTTTGGAGGTCAGATAACTCAAGGTAATCTTGTTCCTCACCTCCAGGTTAGAAAGGGGAAGGGAGAAGAAGAAAAGAAAAACACAGCCCTTTTAAAATAAGATGTAAGGGCTATAGTCAAAAGGTGAAATGGATCACTATTACATTAGGAGAAAGCAAGTTCATGAGAGTAAGCCCATTGTTTTTCTGGATTGGGATTTCTTCACCTGTAGACTAGAAAATGATAATAATGATAATAATAGTAGTAAAGGCTCTTCAGGATTTGTATGAGAATACTCTGTAAAATAAATGGTAGTTTAAAATTATTATTTTTTTTTAAGAGAGAGAGAGAGAATTTTTTAATATTTATTTTCGGCGGACACAACATCTTTGTTTGTATGTGGTGCTGAGGATCGAACCCAGGCCGCACGCATGCCAGGCGAGCACGCTACCGCTTGAGCCACATCCCCAGCCCTAAAATTATTTTTTAAAACTTGGATTCTTTGCTCAAATCCCATCTTTGCCACTTATTGTGTGTAATTTGGAATAAGTTATTAATGTCTGTAGCTTGTAAAATGAAATTGGACCAGTAAACCTATAAGATTAAATTCTATGCTAACACTCAATGGTACATATGCTAAAGTAATATTGACTATAGACATAATTGAAGTCACTAAGAGAATGGTGTTAAGGAAATAGATCTTACTAGAATGGAGAATGCATATTAGAAAATGTGAAGAAATAAGACTAAATAGATTGGGTGAGGCCAAATTTTGAAAGACCTGAAAATTAGGGAGGAGATAATGGTTTGCAAAATGAAGTTATTTGAACAGACAAATTGACAGAAAGTAGAAGAGAGATTGCTATGTGTTGCAGGGAGGAAAGGAGGAAGGAATATTGTATAATGGAAGCAGAATTTCTGTCGTTTTGTTAGGGTGTACAGGGGAGGAGATATTTGTTGTTAATGGGTGCAGATAATGAAAAAGTTCTGGGTATAGATTGTGGTCATGGCCACATAACATTATGAATATATTTAATGTCACTGAATTGAACATGGTGAATGCTTACGATGGTGATGGTAAGTAGTATATGTATTTTACAATAAAAATGTAGTTTCTTGGGGCTGGCGTTGTGGCTCAGCGGTAGAGCGCTCGCCTAGCACAGACGAGGCCCAAGGTTCCATCCCCAACACCACATACAAATAAATAAATAAAGATATTGTGTCCAACTACAACTAAAAATGAAATTTTTAAAAAAATGTAGTTTCTTGGCTAGAGGAGTGACATAATGAAACTAGTATTTTAAGAAAATTAATCTGGCAGTGATAGCCAGAGATAAGCAATAAGAGTGACTGGACAGAGACAAACTGAGGAGCAATTGTAATGTAACTAAGACATCCTAAAAGTCTCAAAACTAATGTGGCATCAGTGGAAATGGAAAGAAAGTGGGTAAATATGAGATATACCTTATAGGGATATTTAACAAGAAGAAATATACTGTAGTTTTAAAAACATGGAGCTAGGCCAGGTTTGTTGGCCCACCCCTGTAATCCCATGGATTTGGGAAGTTTAGGCAGCAAGATTACAAGTTCAAGGCCAGTCTCAGCAATTTAGTGAGGCCCTAAGCAACTGAGACCCTGTCTCAAAATAAAAATTAAAAAGGGCTGAGGAGGTGGCTCAGTGGTTAGCACCCCTGGTTTCAATCCCCAGTTAAAAAAACAAACAAACAAAGACAAAAACAAAACAAAACAAAAACCATAGAGCCCATCTGTCTGGATTTGAGTCCAGGCTCTGCCAGTTACCAGATGAGTGACCACAGGCAAATTATTTTACTCCCATGGACCTCAGTTTTCAACATTATAAGAGCTATAATGCTACTCACATGAGTTAATCCATGTAATGTACTATGCACTTAAAACAATGGCATACACTTGGCATTTGGTAAGTACTAGCTATTCGTGTGCTGACAATATGTTGACATTCATTTCAGTAAAAGGAAAATCAAGTTCTAAGAAATAGATGCAGAAATAAATTCTAAGGCAGTTTTCGCAGAGGGGGGAAAAATAAAAACCAAAAGAATTCTATGGAGAAGTTCAATTCTGGGACCTTTCCTTGACCATAATTTGAAGCTCATGGGCTGAAGGAGATGATTAATACTAAGAGATTATCTCTGTGGCTGTGGCCTCTGGGACACAAGAGGCAGGCATTACTTTGCCTGATGTCTAGACAGGAAAAAAATGCATGAGTTCTAATTGAAAGAGGCAGTTGCACTTTAAATGGACCTTTGCCTGGAAGGGTTTATTTGGCCAAAAAGTTTGACATTCCTGTATATACAACTAAATAACTGTTCTTTCATTTCAGTACTTCTGTTTAACTGGCAATAATTTGATTTGAGAACAATTATGAAATATTGGTGACCATGGAGCTGGTCATCTTTAGTGAAAATCCATACCCCTAGTCTGCTGGTTACTTTAAATAGAACAACAACAATATTAACAATAACCTCAGCAATCATGCTGGGTATGGTGGCACACACCTGTAATCCCAGATAGTTGGTAGGCAGAGGCAGGAGAATCACCAGGCTGTGCAGTTTAGCAAAACTGTCTCAAAATTCAAATAAAAAATTTTAAAGGGTTGGGGATGTAGCTCAGAGGTAAAGCACTTCTGTGAGGCCCTGAATTCAACCCCCAGTATCTCAAGAAAAATAGTAAAATAAAAAATGAAAATAACCCAGCAATGACAAAAGTCCAATATTTGTTGAGTGCTTTTTATGTATTAAGCACTATGCTAACTGCTTTACATATATCATAGATTTTATTTAATCAAATGAGATTTGAATGATTCTTCCCATTTTATAGATGAGGAGATTGAGACTTAGGGAAATAATTTATCTAAAATAATCATCATAGTGCCAGGATTCAAACTCAAATGTCTCTTGATTCCCAATTCCAGGCTTCTACTCATTACACACTATACTTTACAATGTAGTGTTAGTTGGGGCTTTAGCTAAGTGATAGGGTCCCTGTCTAGCATATGTGAGTTTTATACTCATTTGATACTCAGCTACACACAAACACACACACACACAAACACACACACACATACAGAGAGAGAGAGAGAGAGAGAGAGAGAGAGAGAGCAGTAGTATAAATTTTAACTGAGCTGGGTGCAGTGGTGTACAACTATAATCACAGCAATTTTGAAGGCAAAGGCAGGAGGATCACAAATTTGAGACCAGCCTCAGCAATTTAGCAAGAACTTGTCTCAAAATAAAAAATAAAAAGGATTTGGGATGTAGCTCAGTGGTAAAGTGCACTGGGTTCAGTCCCCAGTACCAAAAAAGAAAAAATGAAAAAATAAAAAGAAACAGAAATGTTAACTAAAACGGTATCCTATGGATTTAAAAATGTAATTATTCCAATCCTCTTCAGATGCCACTCATACTTACTCTTGAGTTACTTCAGGGTACCTGGGTCTGGAGTTGGTCTGCTTCACATCACTTTCTTTCTCAAGATCTGTTCCATAAAGCTCCCTGTGCCTCTCTGCTTGGCTCTCCAGGTCATTGATAACCCAATTTGATCCTGTTTCCCCTCAGTCAAGCAGATTGCTGTCTGTTCTTGCAAGTTCTAACTTCTTTCTTCCAGCAACTCCCTGTGCTTGGGGTACTATTCCCCGACACCCCCCCCCACCCCCCCCACACAG